TGTTTTCACCAAATTTCACGACACGGCTTTTGTCTTTCATTGTACCTGTTTATCTTAAGGCTCGTGTTATTTCAGCCTGACGCGCACGCGCGTGTGTCATTACAGTAATGATATGTAAATAAAGTGTGGGTGAGAGTACGGTGTGTGAGTCACCCACACCACAACATGTATCCTTACTTATGGTACCTGGACCGAGAGCTTCTGTAGCCACGGCTTGAGGGTTCTATAGGATATCTATCTATATATATATATATATATATATATATATATATTTATTTATTTATTTATTTATACAGGTGTGTATGTGTGTAAAAGATGCCCTACGCATTCTGCAGGATACATGTATACAAATTTAATTTTGAAGGATGTATAACATCTTCTAAATCATATTAGAACATAAACAAGTATCGTACACATATAAAGATAGCGCACCCAGATATACAAATGTTCATAGGCCTATATGCGCGCGCGCGCACACACACACACACACACACACACACACACACACACACACACATATAGACAATCATATTTGTACGAGTGTATTGCTGATTCAGTAACACTCGCACCTCGCCGCCGACCTAATTACAGCCTACAGTACACACTTGTATAGTACATGGAAATATTGACATCCTAGCACACCAACACAGTCACGCACACGTTGGCTCCAGATAAGCGTGGACAGATTTATACTCATTTACTCATTCAGAAAGCAGACTCAAGCACGTACAGACATAGGTATCTATAGAGATAAGTACACAAAGATACAAACTTACGGGAACGTAAAGACCATTAAGTACAGAGATACGTACACACCCATATACGCACATTTAAAGAAACACAGACCGACTTATAGATACAGATATGAACACCCACAGGTACACACAGATAAAGATATGTGCAGACACACCAACGTACAGTCGTCAGTATGTACAGACAAACGTAAGTACGGATACTAGAGGGTGCAGGAATGTACTTCCTCACACACACACACACACACACACTGTACGTACAGAGAGGCACGTGAATACGAGCACATATTGATTAAGAAGTAGTTCAAGGTTAGACTTTACCTGTACCGGCTCCTGCACGAGTGGTCACGTCCACCATAAATCTAAGGGAACATCACGCCACTATTTCACTTACTCAACTTCTGCTTCCCTCCTCTGGTGTGTTACCGCCTGTTGCTTCTCTTTCCACTGGGCCGTGTCTGGGTGTCCCGATGATGATAATAGTTGTCGGTCTGGAAATAATATAACTTGATATAATATTGAATGGTGAGGACCTACCTATATATATATATATATATATATATATATATATATATATATATATATATATATATATATATATATATATATATATATATATATATATATATATATATAATTTTTTTTTTTTCGGTTTCTTGTTGCTTTTGAGATCCATATTGGTTTAGGCTCATCAATTTTGTTCATAGGGAAATGCTGTAAGTTATCAAGCACATAGCCAAGTGGCTGGTGAGGTTAGGTTACGTTACGTTAGCTTAGGTTAGATTGTCATATTGTGACAGTACAGTCCACTTCACTTGTGCGTTTACAAGGGCTCGTCATATAAACATTCTACAAATCATTTCATTGAGAAATTTGTTTCAATTTGATTCTATGGTATGTTTACTATTGCAAGTTTCCTTCTGCCGAAAGTAAACAAACACAGGGCTGCCACACTGCACCGAACCTGACGAGCCCCTGTAAACGCACTAGTGAAGGAGACTGTACCTGTTCTGTTACTGCTATAGGGACGTAATTGGCATTTCTAAAAATCTGTTAAGATACTGACTGTTGTTGTCATGTTCTCCCTTACACTTCCCGTCACTGTTATGCCACAGTGACAGTGTCTGGTCAATATTTTCAGTGTTAACAGTTTGTAACAGCTGTTTTCTCTTCGTGCGACAGTCTTTTAGTTATTGTGTGATATACTGTTGTAAAATCAATGTTTTTTTCCATCAGGCTTCGTTATACTGCACAGTCATTTACAGTTACTTATAAACTGAGTGAGGGAGTCTAGATGAGAACTGGTGATAATAACAGTTAATAGCAGTTACCGTAACATCATCATTACCATCGCCATCATCATAATTATCATTATCATCATTATCGTCGTCATTATCATCATCACCAATTTTATACAATTTATTAGAGTGATAGTGGTGGTTGTTGTCAGGCGTGTGAGTCAGTGACCATCTCTTAATACCTCTTAACAGTCTCCCTCTCAACAGCCCCTCCTCCTCCTCCTGCCTTTGTCTAATCACTTGTTTAAGACCCAACAATTTTCTTCTGACCTTCTCTCCATCCACTCCCGGGTCAAGTAAAGCACAAACTTCTCACTAATAACTTTCCAATAATAACAATTACAACAATAAGTCATGATTTGGCGGGGAAGAACAACCTGATCCTTCGTCCAATTACTTGTTAAAATATTACCTGTTAGTCCCTTGGTTGTTTACAGTGCCCTTCCTTCCCTCCTAACCCCCCCCCCTCACCTTCTCTCTCATTCCCTCCTTCTCTTTAATCCTTCCAGTCTCCCTCCTTCGCTCCCTACCTCCGTCCCTCTCTCCTACCTGCCTTCCTCTCTCCTACCTGCCTCCCTCCCTCCCTCCCTTCCCCCCGCCTCCTTCCCTGCGTCTATCAAGGACAGGTGTGTAGGTAATGACTCTCAACAGCAGCAATTACTGATAGTTAACCTGTTGCCCCTCACTGATCCTCCTCCTCCTCCTCCTACTCTCTCTCCCTTCTTACTCTACTACAATAATTGACGGGGTGAACCTCCTCCCCCTCCTCTACTCTTTACTCTATAGTTTCAGGATTATCGTAACTCACATCACACGTGGGTTTTTTTCTCCCCTCTCATCTCTTCGTCTTAGTGTTGTGGGTGTTTAGTCTCGTACAGTGTGTTGATATTACCGTAATTAACCTCCTAAGTGTTTTTTCTCCCCTATGAACAATTGAGGTAAAGTGGTTAATATTATGGTGTCTCGTTTAAGTCAATGTGTTGGACTGGTTTTTTTTTTTTTTAGGGGGGTTACTTGATTATTATGTATCCCAGCTTATTTCACCCGATGATTAAGCACCTTAACGTTACCTGGGGGGGTTGGTGAGGTTATATTTGGTTGGGTTAGGTTATGTTTGGTTGGTTGTTATTTTAGGTAAGCGTTATTGTGTTTAATATTATGGTGAATTAAGCTTGGGGGCTAATCTTCATAGTGTCGTAAGGGATCATGGTAAATAAAGCCAGTACTGTGGTGTAAAAATCCTCCTAATGTTCAGTAAATTTTCGCCTTTAAGAATTTAACATAGACCCCCTTCCTTAGTGACGTCACGATCAAAACAAAATATTACTTATCTCGTGTTGATGACAGACGCTTCTTGAAGTAATGATAGATGGTACTGAGGTGAGGTAAAAAAATCCTTCACCACAACCTGGCTTGTGTCTAATGGGATTATTGTTGTTCACTGATCGAGAAATATAAACACAATTGACGTAACTTGGAAGGCTCCCTGATCCGTGTGACTGGAGGATGGTATAAACTTTAGAGGTTGGTGGTTGCCTGGCATTCACTGCGCTCAGGTTACCGCTGTGTTTTTCATTGTCGTGATGGGTCGTCGTGTCACCTTCTTGTGGTTAAAGGATGTCAACGTGGCTTTAAGTAAATTATCTATATAACCACACGAAAATCCTGGAAGAAAAATTTAAAGTTTCTTATCTATTACATATTCGCTAGCTGTTGTATATACAATAAGATAGTCTCGTTATATAACCCTAACCGTAGGCTCAGTGACCATGTTGGGTACTGTTGTTGGCCGTAAACTTGTACAGTATTGTATTTGTAGCATCGTTTGACAGATATCTTAACCCCTTCACTACTGGACGCCGCTTTTAATATTTTATTTGCCTTACGTCAGACGATTATATTCGGTACAGAGAAATCCCCTTACGGAGGGATTAAACATATAAATATATAAATATTTTGAATTTTAATTATACATCTGTGTGGGTCCTCACCTTACTACTGTGCCACCACAAGTCTGCCACACAACTACTTACAGTACGCATTATCGATCAAGTTAACGTTGTAAAAACAGAAAATCCTCAATACTGTTAGTTAGGACTATTTTTATATTGAATAGGTTTGTGGAACTTTTGTGTTGGAATTACAGACACGAGGAATTTAGAGTTAGCGATGTACAGTATATCACATGTTTTTGGTGGTGTTCCCGGTTAGTGACGAGTCAGTCTCTGTCCTCCGTACGGCGCCTTATCCCTTAGTGTGGACGAGTACTTTTCTTGGTAGTCACATCACTCAAGACAACTGTTTTGTCGTCTCCCTTGTTTAGTATTTAAGAAGAGATATACAGCAGACAGAGAAGAAATTTGTCTTCACCTATCCGTGTGTGAGCGGGTGGTATCTAGTACTCGACGATGGTAATGTTTTGATCTTCCTACCAGCCAAGGTGCGTGGGTGAGTAAACACCGTGACGTAACAGCAACCTGTGTGCAGTATAAACTTACCGAGTTGAAAATGAACACGGACTAGTTATGTCATTAAAGACAAATAGTGTGAAGTGTAAAAAATGTACCTATAGTGAGGTTTTAAACTGTTTGTAGCATGCCTTAGAATACCACCAATCTTGCCTCTCTCAATAAAGATAGTATCACTGTTAACGTTAAGTGGCAACAGTGTGACTGCGAGGTCTCTTAAATCTCTGCCATTGGTCAAATTATCGTCCCAAACCGACCATCGTCGTTTTTTGACGAACAGTCTTACAGTAACCATTAAAATGAGACATCCTTGCAGAGATTAATTACGAGATGAACCAGATTTATTAAAATTAATATTAAATTAGGAGATAAGACAAGGAATGAGTAGGATAAACGTCAGCGGGAGGTGGCACCCGACTCCTCCCACCAAACCTTACCGTCCCGCCCCGGCCCGGTCAGTCAGTCACTCGCTAACTCTCCGTAGGTGAACACCTGGTTGTTGGAGGCTCCCGCAGGCCCTATCAGTAATATTCCGGATTTCTCCTCCGCTTTTGATTTATGTGGGCTGAAAATATACCTGAAGAGTGGATTAAAAGTGCGATAAAGAGAGAATTGTGTGTTCCGGAATAGAAGGATATCGGTGGAGTAAGACAGTTTAATTAGGTTCCATACTATTGGAATGTGACTGGGATAAGTGACATTCGCGGGTGCTGGTGACTACCCTATGTAATTTGAATTAAACAGTATCACTTGGAAGTACTACAATTTAAAAAAAAATAATAATTGAGCTTGATTTGTACCTTCAGGGTTCGGTGGAAGGAATTTTCAGTTTACACAATATGCCATTAGTGATGAGAAACGATGTAACACGGAGCAGTATTCAACAGCTGACATAGCCTCAATAAAAAAAAATAATTGTAACTTTTACACGACGCCATGGCGGACACTACGGACTCATTAGTGATTCCCGGAATCTGAAACATGCTGGACAGCTGACTGATGACGTCACGTGTATCACTGTTAAATTCTTTTTGTATATATCATGTGTGTAGAGTTGGTAAATGTGTATAAGCTGTGTATATTTCCTTTGTCTTCGAAATAGTGTAAATTTAAACTTGTGTATTATAATGTTAGAATGTGATGTCAGGAATATTTGTATGCTAGCGCAATTGTATGGTAATCAGCCATTGTTGATGTGTATACATTTTGTTGGTGAATATAAATACAACTCAACTATTCATATTTATTCACTGGTGTGTGTTATGGAGGCTCCTTTTTACACTGTTAGTAAATATATACGGTGCGTTACAACTATAGTTAGTCGTGTGTATATATATATATATATATATATATATATATATATATATATATATATATAGTGTTTGTTTTTATTCATGTATAGTACATATTACGTACATATATTTGTTAAGAGTTATTTTAATATATTTCTAAATTTTTCGAAAATCTGAACTAATACAGTAACGTATGTAGGTAAACACAATCACTTTGTCTTAGATGATGAATTTACATAAAATAAACTTTACTTAAGGTAATTATATATATATATATATATATATATATATATATATATTTTCTCTTTTCGATGGGTCGTAGGGTTTGGACGAACAAATACTGTATACATATCTATACACAAACCATATACTCGGCTGACAACTTATAAATATCATTTACATAATAATGCAGCCTCTGTTCCTTAAAGGTTAAGGTTAGATCCGACCTTATTACCCAAGAGTTTCTGGGACCAAAGAATTTTGTCGTGGACAATGACGCGTCTCTGAGCACGGCCAGAGCCGTAGATGGAAGAGTGCGGCCAACCGGGCACCATGTTGTTACTCAGCGGGTGGGAAGTCTTTTTCGGGCTCTCCCACACAGCTTATAAACATGCTTCTCCAAATGTTTAGATTCTATAGTACGAGCGCAAACTTCTTCATCAGTTCAATAACAAAATGGTGCCCAGTGATGAAGGTATCATGTGCTCCTCCTTGTCTTATCCAATCAGACTTTCAAAATCTATCAGTTTTATATAACATATTATCTTAACTCAGTGGGAATTACTCCAAGCCATATGAAAATAGTTTTGCATATCATCTACATCAAGAGTGAGAATACTAGAGCCTAAAAATGTTAATATTATCCATAGTTGGTTTTGGATAAGAGGAGTACAGTAGTGTACTTAACCCTTTATAGTTTATAAAGCTTTGCTAATACCGAAACAGTAACTACGCCAGTTACTAATGAATAAATATCAGTAGTTTTATATCTTCGTCCTAATGTCCACACACATTTTGTAATACTTCTCATACTGTGGTTCAGACGAGTGTTAAAAAATTCAGTGTTACATACAATACTCTCACTGTAACACTCAGAGAACTTATTGTTAGTCCCCTGGGGTACATATTTACCAACAGTAATACGCGTTCACAAGTACTCATTCCCAACACGAATAATAGGCAACGGTTACACCTATTGATGGAACGCTGTATCAGAGCATTTACTGCCCCGTTGACCAAGTCCTATACTCAGGGTAAACAGTGCTGCCCTGACCTGGGGCGTGTTGGGTGACAAGGTCCTATACCCGTTGTATATCATCACACCGTCGACTTAACTTTACACAGGGTACACCACTCCGTCGACTTAACCTAACAAATGGACCACACGTCCTTGTCTATAATGTATTGTTCAGAGGCCAAGGTACAAGGAGGCCTGAGTTTAGGGCTCTTTTCATGCTTCATCTACATAGTGGTATACTGTATGTCCCCCCCTCCTCCTCCCCCCCTAGAGTCTTTCAGCAGAATGGCCGTCCAGGAAGGTGTTGAGGTTTGAGTGGTGTTAGGATTTCTGGTTTCCTGGAGTTTCTTCTGTCCTGGGATTCCGGGACAAAACAAGTCTTGATCCCGGAATTTCCCCGATTTTATTTCTGGAATCTGGAAATGTGAACGAAAAAGAACAATACATCATTGTGTTGCAATTTAACAGCATTTCTTAAGATAAGAGAAACAAGAATTAATACATCCTATAAAATTCTACTTAATGAGTAAAACGCCCATATATAGTAGTATAGCACATAATATATGATAGTTAGACTTTTGTCAAATTATAGTAGACATTTCCTACTTCTCACGCCGCCAGACCCGCACTGAGATGCTCTTGTAACATACACGAGTATCCTTCAGGTCATGTTCGTGTACAGGACAGGAACGCTTTCGTCTCGACTTTTGCTAGCCGTAACTTCTTAGTAATGTAGCAACATACATATCTCACCAATCTATCTATTTATGTATTTTTGCCTTGTATGTGCTAACTTAGGTTGCATACAGAAGGATTATTATAATACAGTGCGGGAAATCCCGAGATTTTCAAAATTTGTTCCGGAATTTAAGTTAGCTATTTAAGGGTCGGGATCCTGGGACATAAACCCTAAGTGTGGCGGTGCGTGGCGGAATAAAAAACAAAAACAATGTCGTAGGGCTCGTCTTAAACTGTGTGTGATCTCTCACACACAGTATACTGTTCATCTTGTTTCATCACTTACCTGCGAGAGAGATTTAGGAGTAATGATAAGTAGGAACCTTAAGCCAAGTAAACAATGTGTTTTTGCTCGTAACAAGGCTAATAAAGTACTTGGGTTCATACAAAGGAGTGTTAGTTACAAGACTAGCGAGGTCATCCTAAAACTGTATCTTGCGCTTGTGAGACCACACCTGGATTACGCAGTTCAGTTTTGGTCACCGTATTAGAGAATGGATATAGAATCATTGGAAAGAATTCAGAGGAGAATGACAAGACTAATCCCGGACATTAGGAACCTTGAGTACAGAGACAGATTAAAGCATCTTAATTTGCACTCCCTCGAGAGACGTAGAGCGAGGGGCGACTTGATAGAGCTGTATAAGTGGAAGTCAGGGCTAAACAAAGGGGACATTACAAAGGTACTCAAACTATCCAACCAGGAGCGAACTCGTAACAATGGTTTTAAATTAGACAAATTTAGATTTAGGCGCGAAATAGGTAAACACTGGTTTGGAAACAGAGTAGTGGATGAATGGAACAAGTTACCAAATATCATCATTAACTCGAATACGCTGAATAGCTTCAAACATAGGTTGGATGCTTATATGAGCAATAGGGGTTGGGTGTAAACTGGACTGCCCTGTATGGGCCAATAGGCCCGCTGCAGTTTCCTCCATTCTTATGTTCTTATGTTCTTATGTTCTTAAGTTCTTTGGAATCCTCTCTCTCTCTCTCTCTCTCCTTCCTTTCTTTTAATCCCATTACCGGTACTTTTTTTTATCATTTTCCCCTTTCTCAATCGCCCTTCCTTACCTTCCTCCCTTCGTAAAGGCGTCTTTGTGTGTGATATTTTATCCACCTACATATTTTCTGCACTATTAGTCTTCAAGGCATGTTTGTGTACGCTTCACATTTAGCGCGAGAGTGTTTCATCACGAGGTGGAATAAGAGGAGCTTCTTAATCTTAGTGAGATCCGTGTCAAACTCTGGAGGGAACCTTCTGCGCCTTTAAAAATGTAATAAAGTGACAGTAATTCATAGGCTACTTAATTAATATAAATGAACTTTATCTACCATAACTTAACCTATCTTATCGTAACGTATCCTAACCTAACTTGACCTGATCTCTGTCCTGTAACGTGTAGAACTCCTTACGTATTGTTACTTCGTTAATGAAAATATTTTATGGGATTTTATTTAGATTAACGGTTAACTTGTATAAAATCCCATAAAATCATCCCATTAACGAAGTAACAACACGAGTTTACTAATTGTCGCCCACACACATATTGTCTCCTTATGGTTAACTGTTAACAATGAGGATACTGTTTGTGTGTGTGTGGGCGACAATTGGCAAACACTGAGCTTATAGATACTGAAGTGTGTTAAAGAGTTTCAAATAAGTGATAGAACTACATTGTGTCGTGTCTATACGTGAGCATTGGTCTATAACGTATACATAAAGTAAAATATGACGACGTCTTAACCTTTTGAGTACTATAGCTTCGCCCCTTGAGTACGGTAACTTAATGTGGTTACTCCATAGATTATAAGGTTATACTGTGCACATATTAGTAGACGCTCTCTACACACACATCGGTGATCTTACCTCGAAGAATATGTAGCTATATAAAGTTGGTTGAAAGTGAATAACAAAGGAATTATATCACGTATACATATAAGAAAGATGATTTACTTCCACAAACACATCACCAAACGACGGTGGAAACATTTTCATCAGGTTATGAAAAAAGTTATGATCGTTCATATGGGCAGGTGGGGTAGTGACAGTGGTGAGGTAATGGTGGTGGTGTTTATAGTGGTAATGGTGGTGGTGTTTATAGTGGTAATGGTGGTGGTGTTTATAGTGGTAATGGTGGTGGTGTTAATGCTGGTAAGGGCAGTGTTGGTAATGGTGGTACTGATATTGGTGGTGGTGGTAGTACTGATAATAGTTGTGGTGATAATGGTGGTGTCGTAAATCACCACAACT